CTAATCTGAAGGCCACACTAAGTTTGGAGGTCTTTAGCTATTGACTCTGCAGACAGTTGGCGACTTCTGTGTGCTTCAGCATGCGCTGACCCCGCTCTGTCATGCGACGTGGCCTACCACTTGGTGGCTGAGTTGCTGTTGTTCCCAGTTGCTTCCACTTTGTTATAATCCCACTAACAGTTGAGCGTGGAATATTTAGTAGCCAGGAAATGTCACGGATGGACTTATTGCACAGGTGACAACCTATCAAGGGACCACGCTTGGAGACACTGAGCTCCTGAGAGCGACCCATTCTTTCACCAATGTTTGTAGAAGCAGTCTGCATGCCTAGGGGCTTGATTGTATACACCTGTGGCCATGGAGGTGATTGGAACACCTAAATCCAATGATTTGGAGGGCTGGCCCAACACTTTTGGCAATATAGTATATATATTATACAATCGTGTATATTTGTCCAGTAACTGTATATAAAGGCTGCTTGCCATCAGGGACAGTTAACAAAGGGTTATTCCAGTGACACTGTCGGCGGAGGATCAGGAGACAAGAACTATGTGACGTCAGGGAACTTTGTGTAGATCACCTAGACAAAGCCCAGTGTGTCGAGGCTCGGATATCGCCCCAGGCCACAGGCCAGAGTAATGCCGGTGTGATTTGCGCGGTGTAGATTAGGTAACAGATACAGTTTCCTATCAAATGATCACAGAAGACTCAGCAATGCTCCACAATGCGATACAGAAATCTATTATAGAGGAATTGTTATCTGTGGTCAAGGGTCCATTTATAGAAAACTGATATTTCAGGTTGCTGTCTGAGTTTAAAACTAAAGACACAAAAACTTTAATTAAAAGAAAAAATATTTCTCAATAGCCACAGAGATAGATAGATAGATAGATAGATAGATAGATAGATAGATAGATATATTCTTTGTGTGCGTCCAATGCCTTTACAAACTCAGATATTACCTTGTAGAAGTAGCCGTGACATCACCTGTGCAGAGAGCAGAGCTGTGGGTAGGATCCAGCAAGTACCACCTACTACAGGCTGCCTGCAGAAAACTACAGGAAGGGGGCGGCGACAAGACCAGTCACCCTGCACAAAGACAGAGAGCAGCAGTGAGCGGTCTTTATTACAGGAAGCTCCTGCACAGAGAGAAAGTGTCACACTGGATCTGGAAGAAATACACAAAGCACGTCAAGATTCGAGGAAGAATAAACATGACAAATGTATTTGGCCATTATTTACTGATCCCGGAGTTCAGCTTTAAGCAGCTGAGTGGGGATCATAAAATACATATAACTGACTCTTGGCCCTGGTCCACCATGCTGCGACTTCTCATGTGACTTGCTGCGTTGTGCGACACAGAAATAATTATTGAAGAGTGATTACATCACAGAAGACGAGAGCCACGCAGGACCCCTTCATCCTGCACGGTGTGAATGGAGCCTAAGAGCAAATCCTGCAAGACACTTTCTATTACTTTTTATTAGGATCCTGCACCTGAACTCCAGGGACGGGGATAAAAGACATAAGTTAGAAGCAAAATAAGTACCTGAATCTGACTACAGCTGTCCATACAGGGATTTTTGAACTTACGTTTGCGAATTTTCGCATGAAAACACGTTATGAAAATTCTCAGTACTTTCAATAACTTGAATGCTTCAGAAAGTTCTTCAAAATTGAATGTGCTTTGAACATTTTGATTTTGGAAATGTAGTTTCCCTGAACAAAACCTCACCAACTTAGGTGGATTGAGCACTGATTGGTGATCACAGAGATTGAAGAAGTGTGAGCACATTGGCACTACTGTTTTCTGCTGAAAATACATATGAATACTATCTGATATTATAAAAATTTAAATCCATATGAAATAATATAATAAAATATATGATATTATAAATAATTTAAATATTATAAATAGTATAAATACTATATGATATTATCTTTTTTGGGGAGTAATTTATCATGAAAGAAGAATGAAAAAGGTGATTTACAAGATTCATCCCCCGTTTAATAAAGCGAGGATTTTTGATTGGAGGGTAAAAGTAGAAATTACGGATTTAGATTGATGTCACATGGTGGAGAATTGGCACTATATTAGCACTTTTATTATGAGAGTAATACATATTTTATTATATTTAACAAGATAATGCAGTTTACATTTTTTTTGCATGAGGAGTTAACACTTTACGAAGAGGAGTACACAGATTTTTTTGTTACACACGAACTGGACACTTGAAAAATTAATGTCGAGACCCTTGGGAGAATGGAAGGACTTGTAGTATGAATACGCTACGTGACTGTGAAAAAAGGACTTTTTGATATATGACGGATTTAAACGCTAGGTCCTTGTTCATATTATAGCTTCCCGGGGCGGGGGGGGGGCGGAGTAATATCCTGGCGACCGGAAAATTTTACCTATTTTATTTTGGGTTTTGTGGATATTGGGGTATCAGTGATTTAGACATGTGACATATGTGGCTCACCGGGCACTGGAAAGCACGGGGGATTTTTTACGCCACAGCACAGAGTAGCTGGTGAGATCTTAGGGCCCATTCATACCAGAAACTGCACTTCTACTGCATGTTTTTTTGTGTACAATTGCATACATTTGATGCGCATTCACAAGCAGTTGACGCACTTTTTTTCTTTCTACGTTTGTCCTGTGAGGTCACTTCTTTCCTTCCTTCTTTTTCGCTATTTTATTTTTCTTTTTTTTTTTTTTCGCTTTTTTTTTCTTTTTCGCTTTTTTTTTTTTCGCTTTTTTTTTTTCGCTTTTTTCTTTTTCGCTTTTTTCTTTTTCGCTTTTTTCTTTTTCGCTTTTTTCTTTTTTATTTTTTCTTTTTTCGCTTTTTTTTTTTTTTTTTTTCGCTTTTTTTCTTTTTCTTCTTTTTCTTCTTTTTCGCTTTTTTCTTCTTTTTCTCTTTTTTTTTCTTCTTTTTTTTCTTTTTCGCTTTTTTTCTCTAGGAAAAATACATCATGCTGTATTTTTTTCCACTGCACTGTAATGGTGTAAACTATGCCTATAGGATAACATGGATTTTGGACCATCTATGCAGTTGGAATGCGGTCAAAAATGTATCTGCTGAAAATTGGCCCTTAAATTATCAATTCACCTTTTACAAAAAAATTTAAGGGCTGGTTCACACCACAAAAATGCACTCCGGATGTATTTCTGCATACACATTTTTTTTTTTTTTTTTTTTGCTGTAATATGTTCCGATGCATTTTTTTGATGTGTTCAGATGCATTCAGTGCTGCGCTTTGCTGCGTTACATACAGTTCAGTGCAGAAAAAATGCAGCAAGTTCTAACTTTTTGGGACCGGAACGCACTGCAATAATGTGAACTATGCCATTGGAATCCATATAACCTACTGTTCATGCATTTTTTTTTTTTGTTGCTGAAAAAAAACGCACTTGACTGCATCTGGTGTGAACCGGCCCCTAAAGGTGAACTAACAGTCTACATCCCTCCCCTACCAGGGGAGCTGTCAGTGTCCATGTAGCCAGTGTAGTGGTCTAGGGTTTTAAAAACCCTGCCCTTCTATCCGTAGCGCTCATGGGACAGCTCAGAGTGATTCTGATTGGTTAGTGCCAGCATGTGATTTCGTTGACCGCTTGCTCTAATCTGTCCTAGAAGCCCTTCAGATAGAGTGGGGATTGCAGATCCCCAGACTGCTACACCAGCTGCATTGGTAATGACCACTCTGCATCCACAAAAGTAAGTGCAGTGGGGACCTGGGAGGTGGGGAGGATGTACGGCGTTAAGGCCCTTTTCACATGGGGCAGACTCCGGCAGCAGATCCGCCTGCTCAGCTGGGAATTTGTCCGCTGATCCTCGCTGAATAGTTGGATGACAGGTCCATATCTGCTCTGCTTGTGCAGAGAGGACACGGGCACAGCCTGCTGTTCTCTATGGGGCGGATGGATAAAAATGGACCGCCTGTCCATTTCCATCTGACTGCCATCCGATCTACCAGAAGGATGGGGAACGGATCTATTGCCTGCTCCTAAAACTGGCTAAACACTAGTAGAATTTCATTAAATTTTTTAGGTTTTTGAGAACGTTCGTTCCACAATTGAAAGCAAACAAAATTTTGTGGTACTTTTGAACGACCTTCGTCAATTCATTTTACTGTACTGAGAATTTTCCTGCAAATTGGTACAAATTCCTGTTCGAAAATCTACTACTCTATAACCAGCTTACGTGTTCTGTCTCCGTCAGTGGACCGCAGGTGTCAGGTGAGATTGGATATCTCTCCGAGGAATCTGTGTGCTTGTCCTGACTGGGCAGAATCTGATCTGTGGCTGGCTGTACGATGTAATGGCAATCCCTCATCCTCCGACAATCTCACACATCTTGATCCGGATAAAGATACATGAGATTTTCACGAATGTTTAAATTTTAAAGACGGCCCCATTCATTCACCGCTGCGCTTACGTTTATTGTTCCTCATATAGCCAGCCGTATCGTTTAGCCAGCCTGGAGATCAGGTGATAAAGGAGATCGCTAGACGAAACACAAACCCCCGGATTCGAGACGACTCAGGTTTGCGGATATTCAGTAATGACCCTGGCAGGGCAAGCAGCTTAGAATCGGACAGGGGGGAAAAAATACATTGTTTTCTTCAAGGGTCAGTCCATCCAAAATTGATGTTTTTAGTGCTTGGTTGATGCTGAAGAGGTAAACCACCAGTTTTTCTTGTTTCTCAGGGATTCTCGGTGAGAGTTTCTTTGTCTGTATACCTGCTGTGCCCATTATGAGGGGTTACCACCAGACCTGTGCTGAGTTCCTGGGTCTTTACGCCTGCTGTGCCCATTATGAGGGGTTACCACCAGCCCTGTGCGGAGTTCCTGGGTCTTTACGCCTGCTGTGCCCATTATGAGGGGTTACCACCAGCCCTGTGCGGAGTTCCTGGGTCTTTACGCCTGCTGTGCCCATTATGAGGGGTTCCCACCAGCCCTGTGCTGAGTTTCTGTGTCTTTACACCTGCTGTGCCCATTATAAGGGGGTTTTCCACCAGCTCTGTGCTGAGTTTGTGGGTCTTTACACCTGCTGTGCCCATTATGAGGGGTTCCCACCAGCCCTGTGCTTAGTTTCTGGGTCTTTACACCCGCTGTGACCATTATGAGGGGTTCCTACCAGCCCTGTGCTGAGTTTCTGGGTCTTTACACCTGCTGTGCCCATTATGAGGGGGTTTCCACCAGCTCTGTGCTGAGTTCCTGGGTCTTTACATCTGTTGCGCCCATTACAAAAAAGGAAACCCACCATCCTTGCACTTAGTTTACATGTCGACACAACTGCTGTGCTTAGTATGAGGGGTTCCCACTATCCCTGCACAAAGTTCCAAAGTCTGCACACCCGCTGTGCCGATTTTTATGAGGGGTTCTGACCACCCCTGCATAGAGTTCCTGGGTCTGCACACCAGCTGTGTCCATTTATGAGGGGCTCCCATCACCCCTATGCTAAGTTCCCAGAACTGCACACCTACTGTGCCCATTGTGAGGGGTTACCACCCCCACGCACTGTTCTTAGGTCTTCACACCTGCTGCACCCATTATGAGGGGTTCCCACTATCCTTGCACTAGGTGACTAGGCCTTCACACCTGCTGTGCCCAATATAAGGGGTTCCCACCATGTCTGTGCTGAGTTCCTGGGTCTTCACACCTACTGTTCTCATTATAATGGTCTCCTACCACCCCTGCCCAAACACCTGCACAACTACTGTGCCCTATATGAGGGGTTTCCACCACCCCCCACTGAGTAGCTGAGTCTTTAAATCTGCTGCACTATTATGAGGGGCTCCTACCATTCCTACCCCGAGTTCCCAGGTCTGCACACTTAGTGTGCCTATTACAGGGGGATACCACCACCCCATGTCACATGTTAACACAACTGCTGTACCCAATTTGAAGGGTTCCCATTATCCCTGCACTGAGTTCCCAAGACTGTACACCTGCTGTGGCCATTATGAGGCGTTCCCATCATTCCTGCATAGAGTTCCTGGGTCTGCACACCAGCTGTGTCCATTATGAGGAGTTCCCACCACCCCTGCGCCACATTCCTAGATCTTCACACTTGCTGCACCCATTACAAGGGGCTCCCACCACCCTTGCTCTATGTTCCTAGGTCTGCGCATCTACTGTGCCTATTATGAAGGGTTTCCATCACCCCTGCACAGAGTTCCCGAATCTTCACATTTGCTGTGCCCGTTATGAGGGATTTCCCACCATTCCTACACTGGATGCCTACTGTGCCCATTACAGGGTGATTTCCCCATCCCTGCCCTGCGTTCTCATGTCAGCACAACTGCTGTGCCCAATAAGAGGGGCTCCCACCATCCGGACTGGGGTCATGGGTAGGCAGAACAGATGGTCGCCTTTTGGTGCTTCAGTAGGAGGAGGGCGCAAAAAGGGCAGTACCTGCAACCTTTGTCGATGAGACAGTTGGCAACCTATGGGGTTGGGGGGCACTTTAGCTTTGCACCTTGGGTGCTAAAATACTTTGTCGCGGCACTAATAGCTGCCCATTTGCACCTGTAGGTTACACAAGAAGGTTTGAAAATCTCTTGCAGATGTCAGGAATGGAGCCATAAAAGCCCAATAGGGCAGGATAACCACAGGCTGACAGCTAGAGAAAGTTACAGCTACAGCACACGACGACCTGGGAGTTGTATGATCACCCCAAGAGCGGACAAATCCACCAAACCAACATGGCTGCTGCCATTTTCCCCTTAATCCTGTCCTATTCAAAACATAGATCCTCTCTACTTCAATATCCTTGGAGGACACCAGTGTGAAGCTAGTTTGACAAAACATCCCATGGGTACCTGCCCTCCCTTTCAAAAATAAACAGCCACATCTCTGTTCTCTTCCTCCCCTTTGTATTAATAAATGGCATAGATCTGAAATGTAGCTGAAAATAGGATATATTGCAGATGCCATTTAGCAGGTAAACACTCACCTTTTATTAACAATGATCGAATGTCCCCAGAGACATTGTACCCGAGTACAAGAGCTCATTACGCTATTGATACAAGGAGCGCTGCAAATCCCGCACCTGCTGCACACACACGGAAAACCTTTTCCTGTATCCTGGACTTATACACGTTATTCTGTAAAGTCTTTTGTTTTCCCAGACATAACAAAAAATATTTGCAAACATTTATAATGATTGCTCTAAATATGACAGTTAATATTGTATGGCAGTGGCCACACCTGGATGTGTTTCAGATGAATCAGGCACCAACCTTAGAAACACGGAAGAGTGATGGTAGAAAAAGACCAACTGGTTCATTGAGTCGGCCCTGATTTTGATTTTTTTTGAGTATAGATCTAGGTTTGTCCAAGCATGTTTAAATTCACTTACTGCTGATTGACTTATTACCTCATTCGGAAGTCTATTCCAAGTATCAACTACTTTCTTATCCTACCAATAACTGAGGTCTCCAGGGCTGGACACCGTATTCTAAGTGAGGTCTAACTAAAGATATTTATATAGAAAGGAAGTAGGACCTCCTACTGGTGACCCCTCTAGTGATAACTAAAGATCTATATTAAAGATGTAGGACATCCTTCTGGTGACCCCTCTAGTGATAACTAAAGATCTATATAAAGGAAGTAGGACCTCCTACTGGTGACCCCTCTAGTGATAACTAAAGATCTATATAAAGGATGTAGGATCTTCTGGTGACCCCCCTAGTGATAACTAAAGATCTATATAAAGGATGTAGGACTTCTTCTTCTGGTGACCCCTCTAGTGATAACTAAAGATCTATATAAAGGATGTAGGACCTTCTTCTGGTGACCCCTCTAGTGATAACTAAAGATCTATATAAAGGAAGTAGGACCTCCTACTGGTGACCCCTCTAGTGATAACTAAAGATCTATATAAAGGATGTAGGATCTTCTGGTGACCCCCCTAGTGATAACTAAAGATCTATATAAAGGATGTAGGACCTTCTTCTGGTGACCCCTCTAGTGGTAACTAAAGATCTATATAAAGGATGTAGGACCTTCTTCTGGTGACCCCTCTAGTGATAACTAAAGATCTATATAAAGGAAGTAGGACATCCTTCTGGTGACCCCTCTAGTGATAAAGATCTATATAAAGGATGTAGGACTATCTGGGGATCCCTCTAGTGATAACTTAAGGTCTATATAGGAGAATCTGGACCTTCTTCCTCCTGCTGATGATCCCTCTAGTGATACCGAAGGCAAGCCATAGACGATGATGCAATTTTCTTTCTTGTAAACACGAGTTTCAGCAAAAAAAAAACGCTCACTACCCTGGTCAACACAGTCAGTGTTTATGGGGGAATCAGCTGTATTGTATTCTGCCAGCAGGGGGCCTTACCTGCCGACAGAACTTAATGATCACTGCTAGTTCCTATAGCCATTGGCAGTGTTTGCATGCAAAAAAATCTGATAGGCTGGTTGTACTGAAGAAGATTGATGGATGGATCTTCCATACACCCAGCCTGCGCATAGATGGATCAAATATCGGCGGGTTCCTTTTGAACTGGCCAAGATTATATCCATCTATGAGTGGCTTAAAGATCTATATATGGGAATCTGGACCTCTTTCCTCCTACTGGGGATCCCTTTAGTGATAACTAAAGATCTATAGAGAGGAATTAGGATCTCCTTTCTCCATGGTTGATCCCTCTAGGGATAACTAAAGGTCTACATAGAAGAATCAGGACGTCTTCTCTCCACTGGTGGTCCCTTTAGTGATCATTTAAAGATCTATAAAGTGAAATGAGAATCTCCTTCCTCCTGCTGGTGATCGCTCTAGTGATAACTAAAGATCTATATACAGTCATGGCCGAAATTGTTGGCACCCTTGATATTTCTCCAGGAAATCATGTATTTCTCACGAAACGTATTGCATTAACACATGTTTTGCTATACACATGTTTATTCCCTTTGTGTGTATTGGGACAAAACAAAAAAAGGGAGGAAAGAAAGCAAATTCGACATAATGTCACACAAACCTCCAAAAATGGGCTGGACAAAAGTATTGGCACCCTTTCACAACTGCGGATAAATAAGAATGTTACAAGCATGTGATGCTCCTGTAAACTCACCTGGGGCAAGTAACAGGTGTGGGCAATATAGAAATCACACCTGAAAGCAGATAAAAAGGAGAGACGTTCACTTAACCTTTGCATTGTGTGTCTGTCTGTGCCACACTAAGCATGGACAACAGAAAGAGGAGACGAGAACTGTCTGAGGACCTGAGAACCAAAATTGTGGCAAAATATCAACAATCTCAAGGTTACAAGTCCATCTCCAGAGAACTAGATTTGCCTTTGTCCACAGTGCGCAACATTATCAAGAAGTTTGCAACCCATGGCACTGTAGCTAATCTCCCTGGTCGTGGACGGATGAGGAAAATTGATGAAAGATTGCAACGCAGAATAGTCCGGATGGTGGATAAGCAGCCCAAACATGTTCCAAAGACATTCAAGCTGTCCTGCAGGCTCAGGGAGCATCAGTGTCAGCGCAAACTATCCGTCGACATTTAAATGAAATGAAACGCTATGGCAGGAGACCCAGGAGGACCCCACTGCTGACACAGAGACATAAAAAAAGCAAGACTACAGTTTGCCAAAATGTACTTGAGTAAGCCAAAAGCCTTCTGGGAAAACGTCTTGTGGACAGATGAGACCAAGATAGAGCTTTTCGGTAAAGCACATCATTCTACTGTTTACCGAAAACGGAATGAGGCCTACAAAGAACAAAACACAGTACCTACGGTAAAATATGGTGGAGGTTCAATGATGTTTTGGGGTTGTTTTGCTGCCTCTGGCACTGGGTGCCTTGACTGTGTGCAAGGCATCATGAAATCTGAGGATTACCAAAGGATTTTGGGTCGCACTGTAGGGCCCAGTGTCAGAAAGCTGGGTTTGCGTCCAAGATCCTGGGTCTTCCAGCAGGACAATGACCCCAAACATACGTCAAAAAGCACTCAGAAATGGATGGCAAAGAAGCGCTGGAGAGTTCTGAAGTGGCCAGCAATGAGCCCAGATCTAAATCCCATTGAACACCTGTGGAGAGATCTTAAAATTGCTGTTGGGAAAAGGTGTCCTTCCAATAAGAGAGACCTGGAGCTGTTTGCAAAGGAAGAGTGGTCCAAAATTCCGGGTGAGAGGTGTCAGAAGCTTATTGATGGTTATAGGAAGCGACTGATTTCAGTTATGTTTTCCAAAGGGTGTGCAACCAAATATTAAGTTAAGGGTGCCAATACTTTTGTCCAGCCCATTTTTGGGGTTTTGTGTGACATTATGTCATATTTGCTTTTCTGCCTCTGTTTTATATTTGTTCCAATACATACAAAGGGAATAAACATGTGTATAGCAAAACATGTGTTAATGCAATACCTTTTTTGTGTGAAATACTTGATTTTCAGGGAAAAATATCAAGGGTGCCAACAATTTCGGCCAACTGTAGAGGAGTCAGGACCTCCTTTCTCCGCAGGTGATCCCTCACTGTCCCCACTGTCAGACCCCACAGTTTGCCCATCTTGCAATCATGGATGCCCCTGCTAAGAGCAACATATTATTATTTATATATATATATATATATTTATATAAAATAAATATATATAATTTTTTATTTATTTATTTTTTTTTTTGTGTTTTAAGTAAACCAGCACTGTATTGGAACCACAGTCCAG